TTTTACACAAGAAAGTGCACAATTGAAGGTTCTACCACGCAATGCCAACTAAAGTTCTACAGCTCAACCGGTTCTGTAAATATGCGCAGAAGACCAAGAGCGATTTTCAACACCAGCATTAATCTTGAATTTCCGCATTTTGCGTGAAATCTAGAAACATTCCTAAAATGATGTTAAAATACATATACAATAAACTATTAAGATTGTATTCAGTACCGACAATTAGAGCTTAGACGCTCAACCTGTTCTCTAAATATGATCGAAAGAATTTGAGCGGATTTCAAGATTGTCAAGAAATAAAAAACTTTTCTTAGTTTTTTTACGGTTAAAAGCAAATGAGTAATTGAATGCTCAGGATATGCGTTTCCCGTCCAGGAAATCCCGCAAACCCAGACATATTCTCCTACAAATGATTATTTACTAACGCCAACTCATGAAGTGTTTGCTGATTCCAACATGTTGTATCATCGACCAATAATGCATGGCTAATTAGACAAATGCATAGTTCATGTATAATATTGTGTGGTTCGCAAGATCAATGATGTTTACTGACATGCCAGTGGTTTGAAACAGCAAAACGTTCTTAATATTTAGTCTAATTAATATTTTTGACTCAAGCAATTGAAACTAGATCAACGTGTTATTATCGTTTTCTATATAAATAGTTTGTAAAGGTCAGAAGGACCTATTGGCTCGATAGCCTTTTTCTATAGGAAATAAAGATTATTTATATATATATATAGTTTGTAAAACTACGACACTTAGACTTGACGAAAGAATGTGGAAAATTGTCTGTAATGGAAATGACAAATAATAAAACAAAGTGAAATAATATAGCAAACAGACGGTGACATGAAAATAACCGAGCAGCTAAGTTGGCAAATCGTCAAATATTTGTTTTTAAGTAAACAGTATCGGGAGCAATTTTTAAAAATCTCTTTGAATATTATTTCAGGTTTCAATAATGAAATCTAAAAATACTCCCCATTAGACTGCTGAGCAATCGTTTCTAAGTGAACCTATTATATGCTTGAGCAAAACCCAAATTAAACGTTTTTATTGAAAATTTTATTGCTCGTGTTAAACAAAACGAAACTAACTCTTTCTGGTAAATACCAGCGAAAATAATGTTAATTTTAAAGTGCGGGCTGCAATCGTTATCCTAGATACGTCCCTGAAAGCATGAGGTAATTTATAAAATTTTCTAAATTATTTAATAGCACGATCGTTGAACGAAATTCATTAAAGAGAATCCCACACGGAAATTATTTTGTACGTTCCTGTACGTCATCGATAATGATGGTTCAGTGCGGGTATAAACAGTACCAAACCAACCTGTTTTTCCATCTTTAAAACATTTGACTAGAAGAGATTAGAAACCGGTTTGTTACCATCTCTTGGACGGATAATACCTACTTAAATATACGATAGAAACCTATGGGTTGCGATAAAACGTATCTTTGCTACCTTCACTGAGACCTGCAGTCTATGCGTTTTTACCTTGGTGAATGGCAAAAAATCTATTAAAGATCACGATTCTAGTTTGGCTAGTAAAATGTTCTCTCAGCTTGGCAAAAAGTTTAAAAATAGCAATTTGAAGCAGTCGTAAAATTTCTTAACAA